GGTATGCCAATAACTTTAGAAGTGGGATTTGACTTGTTCCTATAGGAACCCTGTGCTGCAATGCCTACAGCCGAAATATGACATGACAGAATAAGAAATGGTGGTAGGCAAACAGGGCTGGGAAATGAAAATGTTGTCAGACAAGACTGACAACAACAGGGTCATGTAGAGACTATGAAAATACTTGTAGTTGCTTTTCCTTCCTTCAAACCTCACAGGTTGCAAGTAAGCTATTAGGAAGAGTGGAAACCAAGCACAAACCAAAATCCACCGCTTTTCCACTGTCAGAAGTGGTTTGGGTTCGTCAACAGTAATTTCTATGCTTAAAACCTCTACCACACTTACTGCACAATATTTACTGTATATTCAACAGTGTATTATATCATCATTACCTGATGGCAGCTTATGTATCTTGCTGAAATATATTTTAAATATGGCATTACAGCTGAGAGCTGAGTCTCCCAAGGTTTAAGAGCACATATGCAGTTTTGAAGGTGGCATTACTCTGCAAATGGCATCTCACCTCCTTGGCGTCATTGTAGTCAACAGTGTGACATGATGCTACTGTCTCGCCGTTCTGCGGTACGGTCACTTGTTTAATGCTGGTGGGCACCCCCAGGGCTTTAATTTCAGTAAACATTAAGTTGTTTGTTTGGATCAGTGTAGCCATGATGGAGAACTGTGATATCTAAAACATTCTGAAAGGAAAAGAGAAAAAAAAAAAAAAAAAAAAAAAAAAGATTGCCATTAGACAGGTACAAGTCCACTTGAGCTTTTCACTTGCTTTCCTCTCTTCCTTTTTTATTTTTTTTTTTTAAATACCTGTATGTCGTTATTTATTTTCCAGTTGCTGAAGGCTTCACTTTTCTTCACATTGTTAATCTGGTTAGATCCTGGGCTCTGCTGTGTCTTTAATTGCCACTCTGCTTATAGATGAGAGGAGCAAAGCAACCAGATGCTCTTAACCCCTGACGTGGGCAGCATGTGCTGCATGGACAAAGCCCTCCTCCACTGTCACAGGGACAGCGGTTATGCCTCGTCTCCTGGCTTCTATGAGGCCTGATCCAGGCTCTGCTTTCCCTGCTTTATGTTGTCCCAGAGCAGCTCCTCCACCCCTGTCGTCTCCCTTAGCACTCACAAGTCCCCTCTCATTTCCAGTTGCTGTGATTTTAAGTAGATTATGGGCACAGGGTTCCTTTAGGGTGTACCCAGGTCTGGTGGGTCTCCAGAGAGCGAATGCCACGTTAAGCAGCCCAGAGATGGTGCCTGCTGGTTCACAGCCCAAGTGTGACCCCACGCCAATGTGCTATGATATAATTCTGCATATTTAGTGCTTAGAGGGTATTATTTTTAGTGTGAGCATTTTCCATTGTTGGTTGATTCAAGACCTCTTTAATTAGGTTTTTCCTTACCAACTTTTTGCAAGAGCAGGAAAAAGTACATTTATTTTATAATCTCTTTGCAACTGCAAATATGGAATATTAGCAAAACAAACTTCTCTCCCTTAGCAATTAACATTCAATTCTTTGACAAAGACAGAATTAAATGAGAAGAAAGAATAGCGTGGATAAAATTAGAAGACATTCTGGCACCCTGGAAAACTAATGAAATAACAAAGCATATTTTCTATTACAATAGAAAAAGCATTTCTTTTAAACCAAAAGTCCATATAATTACAGTCTAATTTAATTTCACATATTCAACTTGTTATGATAAAAATTGAAACCCAACATCCTAGAAAAGCCAGTACTTAAAATAAACACTCCTACCCATTGACTTCGTTACTCAGGAATGCATGCCAGATTTTCTGTGTTGAAGAATAAAGACAAAAAGCAATCCTGAACTGAGGCAGGGGCACCACACCAGCCGCTGGGCAAAGCTGTGGCTGGGACCAAGCTGCTGTCTCTGCTCTCCCATCAGGCTGCTTCTCCCAGGCCTTGCAAAGCGGCATGGCCCCGGCAGTAAAACCCACCATCTCCTACAGGATGCTGAGATGTTTCTATAGAATACGTTGACCGGGGTCAATGCACACATTCTAGGACTGGGACCCAAGTTTATGACTCATAACTGCAAATACATCTTTGGTTTGTCAGCGATGGGAGGGCATGAGTAGGACTCATGAATGGGGCAGGTCCTGTTCCCCCCTCTTTGTCATTTTAGGAAGTGATTTCTTTTGTGGTTACCAATGCCTGTGTATCCTGCTACTTCCTCCCAGAACTAAGATTGAATACCATAAATATATTCTACGGTGAATACTGGCAAATGCACTGCTGACACAGGTGCTCTCCTTCTGGCCCTCTGAACTTTTCTTTCTTTTTTCTTGGAGCAGTGATCTAGCTTGAACAACAGGGCAGAGAACAGCAAGGAGGACCCTGAACTTGCAAAATGGATTAGGAACAATTTTAGGTGCCCTTCCTTGAGAAGAAACCCAAAACCTTTGTTGGGTTGGGGTATTTCTTTGTGTCTGCAAGCCAGGGTCAAAGCCTTTTGACCTTAAAGCTTCCTGCGTGCAGCCTCCAGCTTCTTTCTCACCAACAAGGGCTGGTTTTCCTGACACAGCTGTTCTGACCCATCTACATGCTCCAGATGTTCTGCATTGATATGTGCTTTCACTTTATAGGAATAATTTATGAAATAAACTTGTACTTTCAGAATTATATCAGAAATTACAATGCCATAAATGTGTACCTTATTTAACAATATGCTGAAATTGGTAACTTCAGAATCATTCTTAAATTTGTTCTTTAACACAGTTTAATCACATTATTTGCAGTCTATTCGATCATGAGCACAAATTAATGTTAGGGTGTGATATGTAGACCTTATGAAGCCCCAAATTAAAATACCTATAGTTAAAATTATAATAATAGTCACCTAAAGTGATTATTTAGAAATTGTGAGATAACAGTACATACCCAATTAGCAGTAAATGATGTGAGCAGATACACACGGTCTTCATATGCATCTGTTAGAAAGAAAGAACAAAATAAAATGTATTTGCTATTCACCTTAGTTAACACATTACCAAAAATTCAGTTCAAGAATTGTGTCCATATACTATACACAAATATCTGGTATGTCTATCTGTACATAAAGAAAGTTCTTTATTTCCAGAAGACGTATGCTTTCAAATGCCCTGCACTGCCACAACCCATGTAGGTGGAAAACCATGTCGATAACTTTAGAAGCAGTGGGATTACCAAAAATTCAGTTCAAGAATTGTGTCCATATACTATACACAAATATCTGGTATGTCTATCTGTACATAAAGAAAGTTCTTTATTTCCAGAAGACGTATGCTTTCAGACATAAAATGCTTTCTTATAGGACTGCATGCGATTTAAATGAGGACAAAAAATAAGAACATTTTAGAGGTAAGATACGGAAGGCGGCAAACAAACAGCATTAGGAAGATCAAAGGTGTTAAGACCAGGAGGAGAAAAATGTTTCTCACTGAAGAAGGCATGGGAGACGTTTCCCACATCCACCTCTCTTCACTGTCCAATTACACATGACCATGAGAGACGCTGATGCTTCTTTGAAATCACTGTTGTGTATTTTATCGATCCTATTATTCAGCGCTAAATGCACTCAAAGTAGTGCCCATAACCATGGGCATTGTAGGTTCTTGCCTTTCCGCACTAACAAAACCAGATCACAGGCATCCTACTGAGCTGCACCTTGTAACCTATGCTAATTTCCTTTAGCATCAGACGCCCATAAACATGGCCATCATTTCTGAATTCCAGTGCTAACAGGCTGTGGTGTATGTGAAGCACCTCAAAATCCACTAACACCATCCTGCAAACTTCCCTACATCCCTACACAGCGTTATGCAAAATAACACCATTTTCTGCATTACTTGCAGTAATCTTGGGTGACAGCTTATTGTTATTACAAGGGTAATACACTCTGGATGGAAAGGATAAATGACATTTAAGTATCTCTTATCTGATGATGATTTAAATGTATTAATGGTGAGGAAACTCGTTAAAGCTTCCCACATAATCTACGGTTATGGTTCCCATAGGTTTGAACACAAATCCTTGTTAGCTGTGTTGCCTTAGGTCCAGGGCCCAATTTTGTTTATACAACATATTAATTCTATGAATCATAACATTATGCGGTTTAAATCAGGAAAAATCATTTTACTATAATGCTAATCTGGAGGTTTCGTTTCCGTTTTGTCTCTGAAGGCATGTTCAGATATGTCCTGCAGCAATGTGATTGCTTTGGCCAGGGTCCATCCTTTCCATCTGCTCCTACTGCTCCTCCTCGAGTGCCCCACGCTGCACTGAGGACTTCTAAGGCAGAAGCAACCACCAGCACTTCTTTTCCAAAGCCACGGCTAAGCGATGCAGTTTCTTACGGCTTGGAGGTTCCACTTTGACAACTGTGTTATCGTTAAAAACTGCAGACAGAAAAGCTCATAAGTCAGCTACGGAGCAGTACTTGGTTTTCAAGGAGTGCTGTAGTTTGTTTCATCTCTCCCCAGTTCATATCCTTGGGGTTTGCTTTGTCTCTTTTCATTTGGGCTTTGAATATATCCAAGGGTGGAGGCTCCACAGTCTCTCTGCACAGCCTGTTGCAGCGTTCGACCATCCTCACAGCAAAAAACGATTTTACGAGGGCAAGAAGCATCATACATCCCAATCATCCCAATCAGGCTGTCCCTCTGCAAACAGAGCATCCTTCAAAGCGACAGTGAGTCCCATTGTGTTTTTTCAGCTATGGAAAACAAAATGTTTCCTGAATTCCCTCAGCTAACCACATTTCATGTTTATCAAATGCGTGAAGTTGTTTTAGAAATATTGTATACCACTCAATTGATCTCCCATAGTCATCTTTCTAAGCCCATACCATTAAATTACAGGAGACCATTGGGAGGAAACCAAAAAGAAAAACCAGCCATAAAGTTCCAGTGCTATCATACATGCAGCTTCTCTGAGGACTGGTAGCATTTATATGTCATTGCGTAAAACTAAATTTTAAATTTTCAGTTAATCTTGCCTGTAAAAAGTTGTATTAGCAGGTCTTTGCCAAGCAAGGATGTATCTGCCTTGGCTATGCAGGTTGATATGTTCCAAAGGAGCTGATAAAAGTTCGAATTGTCCCCTAAAGCCAATATCTTCATCCTATTTACGAAAAAATAAAAAAGTCTTCTACTGAATTGCTCATACTTTACATATTTTTTTTTTAGAATGAAATGATTATTTTTTGCTAGACAGATTAATTAGGAGCTGTTACTGCAAATCCTCTTGTTACTGCAGGAGTAACTACCTAATGCTTTTAAGAGAAACTCTGAAATTCTGTATCTGTAAGAGACTGGCTTGACCACAGGTGACAGCAGCTGAACCAAAGGGGCCAGTCTGGTGAAATGTGAACTTGTGATTAATGAGGTGATTTTTGATGCCTGCTCCTCCTGTTACCAAATCTTTTCTTATTTTCTGTGCAAGATGATGGGGCTAAACCTATTTTGTCTTTCTCCGTTCCAGCATTCCTTAAAAAGACATTATGTATGTCATTTGAGGGTTAAAAAAAATCAATAGAAGGACTTCAAATTAAAAGTATTATTTCACCTTTTAATTTAACCTAACTGTGGTCATATTATTATACATTATTATACAGGAATCAAGGATTTTTTTATCAGCTAAGTAGATGTTATATTGCTAAGAACTGATACTGAATGCAAGTTTGGGAGAGAGGGTTGACAGCTCACCGCCACTCTTAGCACACTCTGCTGCTGTCTGAACAGCGCTGTGAAGGAGACACATAGAATATAACTTTTAAAAGGACTTACTGTGTAGTAATCACACCAGCGGGCACTGGATAAAGTAAGTGGTCACTGTTACAGCATTCTGCAATTAAATATACATGTTTTAGGTACCTTAAATCAAAAAATGAAGTTTAGCTAAAGTGACTTTAATATTTTCATAAATGCTTAAAAATGTACCTGTTGCATCACAGGGCTGATGAGCAGCGCGGGTCCCCAGAGGAACTGCTTACATATTTCCCAGGTTGTTCTGTCTGCTACAAACCTGTAAGTTAACAGAATAATGATAAAACTTTGGATGCTGAACTTTTCCAAAATGTTCCTTCTTTAAGACATTTTTGTCAGTAATTGAATCTACTATTCCAAGTATCTACTATTTCCTCATCTTTTATTCCAGTATTAATAATTCATACATCAATTAATGCTTGCCAAGAATGCATAAAGATCCTAATGTGAAACTCATTAGAGAAATGCAAGCCATTACTTAGCTTTCTTTTTTTGCCATTTCTTTGCATTTACTTTTCAGTATATTTAGATCACAAAACTCCGAAGGTCTGTTGTGCTTGACTGGTATTAGCAATAATCAGATTAGGTAGTGAACAGACTGGCAACAACTTTCTAATTTGCACCACTTGTTCTGAGACAGTTGGTTTGAAAAAAGCAAATCAATACATGCAAAGAACTCAGTATTGCACACCCAAGACATACATGGATATACTAGACCACATCTAACTGCGCAACAGAAGGAATTAAAGCTTTTGCAGGTACTGCCCCCCCGACAAGGAACAAAGAAGGTTTTGTGTGTCTAACAACATTTAAAAAAAAAAAAAATCTGCTATATCAGCTTGCAAACACACTAAAAAAGCCATTTTTCCCTGCAAAATTCTCATGATTTGTGGCAGAAGTCCCACTTTTTGGCTTAAAGTTTTTGTCCAGCTCTTTTTGCAACATTTCTTTTTTGATCCTACATGTGCGCAGCATATTGTTGCTTGCCCCTAAAGAGATGAAATTTAAAGTTTAAATATTAGTCCTAGAGAAGCAAATGTTCAGTTTTGCATAGTGAAAAATGGAGAACTACTGCTGTTCAAGTGAGACTTGATATTGAAAGCTCATACTCTTAATCTCGTGCTTTTTTGTTGAAAGGAAAATTGCTGTACATGAGAGAAAAACTTTATTGTTAGGAGGGTTGTAACTACAGAAGCTTGAGTGGAAATTCCTGATAAGGACAGCAAAGGAGTTGCACTTACGCATGGAGTACGGGGTGGATCCCAGTGCTGCCATGGGCATCATACAGTAACGTGTAGAAATAGGGTAACAGGGTGTAACTTATATTCAGCACATTCCTGGAGATCTCCTCAAGTGTTCAGTTCCAGGAAACAGCATCTTGCCTCTGAAAGAGAAGAAATCATTGTTATTCAAGCTGGAGTGTTTCATTCAGAAAAAAGAAAAAAAAAAATCAACATAGCAAGACAAAGCCAAGGAAATTTCCCCTCCAATATAGAGCACCTTCATTTATTTGTTCTTCGCTTAAGGAGTAAGTGACAGTAAAACCAGGAGGTATCACTGTCAGCCCTCAGAGGGGAAGTAGAAAGAGGGAAGGTGAGAAAAACCTGGGGGGAGTAGTGTAAAAAATGTTGAATGCAAAGTGTCCCGAAGGCATGACACATCCCAGCGTACATCATTTATTATCCCTCTTCTCTGCAGGGCAGCACTCAGGACTTGCAAGAAGAGACCGCAGCACTAATGACTGATGTCAAGGAGCACTCCCCATCTTTATTAAATGGACTGAACAATACCTTGGCAAATTGGGTAAGACTGGAAGCAACATGATAACCCTGAATCTGCATTTTTAAAGGCTTTAAAAGTGCTATCGAAAGGTGTGCCGCTGCAAGATAAAGCACGCAGGTTTTGAAAAGGAGACTTTAATCCATTAGATATATGCCATATAAATAGCTCTCCTCGGCTAGACCTGAAGCTTTAACTGGAAGAGAAGTGCTGTTTCCATTTTTTTTTTTTATTTTTCCAGTTATCTTGTTTTACAGCTTTCTACAATATAGTCCTTAGCCAGCACAGACCTACATTTAGGCAATTATTTTCCTTTACTCTTAAAAGAAATACAATATCTGATGGTGGCAAACGTGCAAAGTACAGAAATTGCCAGGTCTTGCTCCAGAATCTTATTACACAGTTCCGTTTTCTCATTTGTTGTATAATTACGGATAATTAGGGCTGAGAGCACCAAGGCCCGTTTTGCTCCTTTCAGTGTGTTTGCCATAAAGGCGCTCTATTTCGGTCTTGCCAGTGTAGTGCGTCGAAATAAAAACGGCATACAGGGAAAATAACATGTAGGAGATTGACTCAGTCAAAGCAAACTTAGAAAATGCTTCCTTCAAGTGGTCCAAATCCCAGAGCAGCCCCTCTGCGGGCATAAAACCTCCCAGGTGAGGGGGAGGCGTACGGCACAGCCAGCATATAAATAAAGACAATTATTTCTCTGATAAAGAGCCAAAAGTCTTCTTTTCTTGTCCATTTTGCCTGCAATGTACTTTTTTTGAGGCAGGCCAGCTTGTGCGATGTTCCGGCTGGTCTCTGAACATGCATTGCAAAGGGCCAGCTGTTAAGAACCGCTAAAGAATTGCGACCCACCCTTGCTCCTTTCTCACTGTGATTCCTTGAGTATGGGTAAAACGCGCCCAGCTGCATCCAGCGAAGACACAGCTCATACTCCGAGTCTTTGAAGAAGCCACACATATCAGCTCCTCTCTGAAAGTTTAAAAATAACCAATACTATAAATTCATGTACAGCATGAAGATAATTTAATGTAAGGTAATAACTCATTAGCTTACATAAGCTATTCCAAAGAGACTGAACTCCATCACACCTGAAAGGAAAAATAAGTCAACATTACTAGCTGGGCTTTTTTTCCCCCCTCTTTGGTATGCTGTTGGCTACCTAGATAACACAGACTGTAACGCTGAATGAGAAGAAAGAAAACAAAACAAAACACAAACCCCACAATTTCTCCAATGGGTCATGGTTTTCTGCCACAGAAAGGGATGGGAGCTGGTTGGTCAGGAGCAAACAAAGAAATGAGCGGCAGGACACAGGGCGCGAAGGTGGCCGGTGCCAAGGGAATGAAAGAGCTCCCAGCACCCGGTGCAGAAGCAAAGAAGAAGTAAAAAAGGAATTGACCACGAATTCTGATTGCTGAACTAAAGGGCTTATTTCAGCTAAAACCGCATGAAACTAAAAGCAAGTAGATGAAGGAAAAGAAATAACTGCACACAGTAAATTGAATACAGGTGCTTTTCCTTCTACCTACCAATAACAGATTTAGCCAGCTGATCCCAAGCTGCAGTGTTATCACCCAGCCAGTGTCCTGCCCATCTTCTGCTACTGGGATATGTGGAATGGGTGGTAACAATCCCACGCTCCTTGGTGGCACTCTGCAAAACGCTGACACTGAAAATAGACAAAAAAAAAAAATCTAGTTACATGAGAAATATTACATGAGAATTTATTAGATAAGGTCCTGGTTGAAAATAAACAGAAGGGCTTCTACTTCCATAGCAAAAGGCAGCATTGTTGTAGGCATCAATATGCACACATCCAATCCAGAGGTGCTTTTTACAGCAACTCACTACGATTCACACATACGCAGAAACTCAGCAGTGTCAGCCAACCTGCAGCTGGAAAGAGAGCTGGCAAAAGAAGGAGGTGCTGAAATACAGATTGCCAGCTCAGGATAATTACTGTCTGGGGAAACAGGAATGTAGTCCAACTTGCACGTTTTCTAAGGGCTCCACGATGTGTTCCAGGGCACACCGCTCCTTCCTTAAAGTACCTGAAAACTTGCAGCAACACTTGAAAATAATGTAACAAAACTCCTACCAAAAAGATCATAACGGGGAAAAGAGAGGTGCCAGGAATACTGGACCTGTCAGTATAACTCTAGCTGCCAGAAAGGTATTGGAACAACAACATAAGTCATGGGTCTGTAGTCCCTTCAGAAACACCAAGATGACAAGATATCAATCTGAAATGACCAACAGGGACTTGTCTAGAAGCAAACATAGGAAACCAGCTGTTTTCTGCTTGGGGCAGGTAACAGGCCTTAGAGCTAAGGAGTGACTACCAAGGTGTGTGACTACCTTGGCATTAGCTGGCCTCTTGGTCTGATCACATTTGCCTTCCCCATAAGCAGGAGAGATTTCGACCAGAGGCTGGTAACCTTTTGAGGATGGTGGGACTTATTTCTCTTTCCCAGATGAGAGGCAAAAACCTACAGGGCAGGAAACATACAGGTGCTTGGGTTTGGGGGATAGAAGGAAACAGCGAGCACCGGGCAAGGACTGTCGTGGACTTTTCAAGGTGCTCTGGCACGACAACCCTATGGCCTTGCTCAGGATCAGTGCCATTGGGAGGGGAGACTGCGGCTTGCCGATGACTCGGGAGAAGAGCTCCTGAGACCCTGGAGGTGTGGGTGTGAATGAGATGGATGGAGAATCGATTCACCAATTAATCCCATGACCTCAGAAAATTAAAAAGAAAAAAATAGAAATTTTCTTAAATCAAGCCTTGGCCATTGCCAAAAGTGCCTGCAAAGGTAACCAAGTAAGCTTTAGGGAAGAAAAAAAATAAAATGAGCTGAGTTGAGAGGAATTGATGCTTTCTAGCTGCTCCACCAAGGATATGAGCACCTTTCTCTGCAGCATGTGTTGTTGCTCTATGCTCTGTGACTCGCATCGATGCATTACTGCTCCGCTTTCTTAGAACAATTCCTTTGCAGCCATGCACATGCACTGTGAATCATTACAGCAAAATACTAAGCCACAATACTAGTTAGAAAGCTACACTGATTGAATTGCACTGCTTTCCAATGCTAGCTCCACAATAATTGCCTAAACAGCTGCTTCAATAAGGCACTATTTATTTATTTTTCTACAGGATTTGCAGCTTTAGTGACACTATAATTACAGCAGAAATACACAAGTCACTTAAATTACCGTAGTAATTAAACCAGACTAATGTGCTGTAATTATTTCTTCCAAGACAAACAGTAAGTTTTCTAGTATCTTTTCTTTCTTGCTAACACACTATCAAACATTTTCAGCCTCTGCTTGGTTCACCCTCCTTCAACAACGCTTGGGAAATTGCAGCTAAAATTTCAAATGGAAAGAAAGTCTAGGGCGTGTGCAGAACTGCTCAAGGATGAGCACGGCCCGAGTGTTTTGCTGACTAAGGTGCCAGCTCTCTGCTCCAGGACTGAGTCACAGCTGTGCCCATGAAATGCAATCACTCATGTCACAAAGCTGGAATCTACCTCCAAATGGTCACTGGATTCCCTAGGAAGGGTTCTGGCTTTCAAGTCGATGCAAAAGTCTTATCTTGAAAGAGCAGCATTAAGCCAATATCCAGAAGCTCCCTCTCTCTAATGGATGGAGAGCCAAAATTCCATTGTTACGTGAAAAATTGCTGCGCACTTTTAAGTTCTAGGCTTTCGTGAGTTTTGTGTGCGAACGGTCTTCCTGTTTGGATGGTTTAGTATTAGAATAAATTATTATTACAACATGTCTTCAGCTGCATAATTACTCCTTCACTTAGTACCGAAGAATAAATTAGGAGCTGACATATACGTGTATAAATATATTTTTTAAACTCACATTTTCCTACAAATTTCAAGTGCGAGAATACCTGTATAAGCTGTGTAATTTGTCACAGTCATTTCTGTTACGGTACCTCTCAAAAGAGAAGAAAATATTTCACTACATTTCAGTTCATACTTAATACACAGAAACGATGGTAATATTCCTCTTTCAGTATTAAATTATTGTCTACTTACAAGGCCCAAATCGCGTGTGATTTGGCTGACAGCAGAGGTATCAGACATTCCTTCCTGTCCTGTCAGCAATTTCGCTCCTGCCTTGACTGGCAGCACTGCAATGGCACGCTGCCAAATAGAACATCCACTCAGTCAAAAACTCAAGCAGCCTTGATATTTTCTTTCTTTATGCTAATAGCAAAGTTACCAAGGGCTTTAAGGTCATTAAGACCTATAAAGAAACACTGCTTCCTTGCTCACTCCTTGAATTGGAAATGAAACAACACAGATGTATTATCATTAGATCAGACGTTATCTAAAACAGGCTGGGGTACTCTTCAGTAAGGAACAGATAGCGACGTTTGCCTGGGAGCCGAGAAATAAATTCTTAAACGTAAATGCACACAGCTTGCATTTTAAAAGTCACTGTTTCCCCTTTTCACTACCACTGAACTTGTTTTAAATAGAGGACATAATCGAGCCCTTCTTCTATTAACAGTATTAAAAAGCTGTGTTCATTTTCCCTCCCTAGACGTACAGCGTAAGGCAAAACCAACAGCAGCTTTAGGAGTAAGCCAGGCTATCCCAGCAAAACCTAGAAACAAAAAGTATTTTATATTTTAATTACTGTAATTGCTGAGGCTATCATTGAGTAATTACTGTTCCCAACAGCTGATCAAAATGTTGAGACCTGTTCTCCATTCTGCCTTGTGAATGACTACCCGAGCGGTGCCTTTGGATTGACTGCTCTCGCTTACAATGCGGAGCATCGCCCCGGGACGGCCTTGGTGGCTGTCTCATAATAGAAGTCTCTGCTGAAAAGGCAACGTGTTGTGTTTGAATGTGTTGGGACAGAGAAACGCTCAATGGCGAGTAATTACATCCAAATTAAACTATAGGAGAAATAGCACCGTGGCCATCTTATTCAATAACACAGCTCAGCAATTAAGCTTGCACAACCTAACATTTATATGGATGAAGTCCTCAGAACTGGTATACCAAGAATTGCTCCCCAGCTAGGTGAGCAATAAGTTTCTTTAGGATCAGACTTGGGTAAACTGTCTTTAAAATGTACCTTGAAAATGGTGTCTGCTCAGGGTCAGTGATTTTAGAGCTGCTAAACTCAAAAGGAAGCCTTTGCCTGCTTGTCCTGAGACAGTCCGTGGTGCCGCTGCAGGTGTAGACATGCTTGAGCTCTTTTGGTTTTTTCCTAGCTAGCCCCAGTTGTAGAAGGTGTTTATTGCAGTGACACCATGGAAGCACAGCTTCAGCTCCGACCTGCACAGACCCACCTCACCTTCTCTGGCGCATCCTTTCCAGCAGCTCAGGCTCATACCACCCTTGACCTGCGCAGACCCACCTCACCTTCTCCGGCACATCCTTTCCAGCAGCTCAGGCTCATACCACCCTGCTTGCACCACGGGCGAGATCACTGTGCTGAGCAGAACGTGGCTGAAATAAGACCAACTGCAAGAGCTACAGCACCGCTGCTCAAACTTCTGACCACCAGAGCTTCACTTCTAGCTGAATTGAAGAATGGAAGCTATTAGGATGAAAAGAAAGATACCTCAGGAATTTTAAATAAACTGATGAAAGTTTTGGCCATAAGAATGTAGATACAGAACATTCATTTCTAACATATTTTGAAGACAACAAGAAGTATGCAAACTTCACTTACTCTAGGGTAGGTTTTGTTTGTGACCATCCATAAAGACTGTGGACATCGTAGTGTCTAACAGCGGTACCATCTAGAAGATATTGTTGAAATGTCATGCGTGGAGTTTTGGCAGTTAATCCATCTGACAGATATCCCAATTCTAATGGAAGGGAACAAAAATATTTATTTTTAATAATGAACTCTCAATAATGATTTGAGTTACTTTTTCTTAATTTTCATAATTTCTTTGCTGTTCACTCTCTGACAGTGTGTATACTGTCATTTATTTATTTATAATTATAAAAATAGCATTTCCAATTTTCTGAAATGGAGTATTTCTAATATTCCTATGTAGGCATCTGCATCTCTAAGTATGTTAATAGCTCAGTTACAGATGTTCTTACTGAAGAGGCTAAAAGAGTAAACAGAGTATATCCAAATTCAGAAGATATTGCAAATCTTTGTAAACACTGTCACATCATCCACAGAAACAGAAAAATGCCACCGTTTTTCTGGTATGCGGGTGCTATGATCTGTGTCTGAATATTAACTTCCTGACAGTTCCTGAGAAACTATTAATAACTGAAGACAACTGTAAGCAACAGAAATATGCTAATGAACCATTAATAAATAATTACTGACTAGTACTACTTTACACTAGTACTTAAGTAAAGCCAAGATAAGAAAGCTAAGTATTTCAAGTATTTGACTGTATAGATAAATCGTAATGAGAGGAGACACAAGGATATTTTTCTGAATTTTTAATTAATTGTGTTATTCATCTGAGAAAACTGCAAAACAGAGAACTACAGTCTCTACCATGCCTAAAGCAAAGGACCTAGACATAAAACAGGCATCAAAATCCATATGCAGGCAAGTAGCTGAAAATAACTTTATTTTTAAAACGTGTCTTGCAGTTACTGCTCCCACTGAAACAGATGGGATTGCAGAGTGCCCACTGTCTCAGAAAAAAAGGTCCACTTTCAGGTAGGAGTTGTGGTTTTATATACCTAACTTTAGGCATTTACACCACATATACCATATAAGAAATTACATAGTAACCAGAATGACCTAAAACTGTTTTAAGGAGCGATCAGACTTACGAGGTATGTATGGTGGTTTGTTTAGGAGGTCATTTCTACAACCATCAGTGGCGCCATTCAGAAAAGTTGCTGGTTCATTCATGTCCTGAAAACATAGAGCAAAACCTGTTTGTAATTGCTTCAAACCTACAAAACACACTACATTCTAAATTACAAACAAGCAGCATTGTAGAAGTCCTCAGGAGCCCTTGCAGCTGCATTCTCAGTCTGCTTTTCCATGTTTTCTCGAGATGGTCAGATGTGGCACGGTGCAGAGACAGAGAGCCACAAAGATTTTCAAGGGAAGAACAGTGAGGCTGGGCTCTGTTTCCCCGGTGCAAACAGTGTCACAGTGGAGGAAGAAAGTCACAGTATACCGAGGCAGTGTAAATATACAACCTAGAGCCAAAGTGGTGTCTTTGGCTGGTGTCACAGATGAGTGGTTAAGCTGCTTAAAAAATTACCGTCAAAGATATTTGCAAATAGTGATTTTAATAGGAATCTATAAAAGTGTGATTTAACAGAGTTTGATGGCAAGGTTCACTCTACTACTTATTAAATGAATGGAATGTATATAGATATATAAAGAGAAAGAAAGAGGAAATTGAGCCTGAAGAAAATACATGGAGGAAAAGGGGAGCCCTCCCATTGAGTCACGAGGTTCAGAATGGACCCCCTTGCTTTCTAAACTCCTTCTCAGAGAGGAGCCCAGGTGCGGCTGGATCCAATCCTAGTCTCAGACTTGGTCAACAGTTTATGTCTAAGGATTATATGTTTAGCAGCAGTTTAAGGTTTGTTTGCAGCAAGGAGGGAATCACAAAAATTTAGCAATAACTAATCATTAATTAATCTAGCATCTACAAAGTGATTAAATGAGGTTTGCTACAATAGTTATATCAGACACACACAATAGGCCTAAGTACTCATTAGATGTGCAGTTAAAGGCACCAATAAAAATTCCCCTGGGTTTAGCAAAATACTCACTTTAAATGACTATATCAACAGGCGAGGGTCGAACCTCGAGGAGCAAGGATCGCCAAAGATCAGGCGAGGGTCGAATCTCAAGGAGCAAGGAGCACCAGAGATCAGCTTGAGTTCGCAGCTCCGAGAGGTGTCCCACGCAGAGGGAGATTCTGGTGCAGCCCGCTGCGGTCTAGGAGAGCTCAAAGGATCTCAGCTTGGTACCGCTCTTTATAGGGTCATGAGATGATGGACTCTAGGCATCAGTAAATTTCCCTTCTACTTTCACAGCCTGTTTTGAAGATTACTGAAGTTCTCAAAAATTCCAGTGATGCTGCTCCAGGTCCTCCTGAGTTACAGGCAAGATAAGATAGGCCCCAAGGCTGCCAGACGGCAACTAGTACAGATGAAAAACATAGTTCCAAGGCTGTCAGGACTGCCTCCCTAGTACAGACAGTGCTGCTCCCACCTCAGCTATGTAAGAGTTTCTGATACGATCAAGGGATGCTTAACTGCCAAACTCATTACACAAAGGCCAAGTTTTGATGGGAGTTACTGAGATGGTAAAGCAGCTTCGCTTCCCATGCTCTGCCAGGTGCACAAGAAGAAAAGGGGTGAATGCACCACCACAGCTGGGGGCTCAGGTTCTGCCTAGTGCTCTACTTGCTTTCCCTCCAGCCTACTTTTTTATTTTACTTAATGGCAATTTAATGCCAGATTAGCCCTTTGAGCTTCAACAGCAGAACTTATGCTGTGAAATGTGGCCCTCTCTGCTAGTGTCTGGCAGAGAAAAAAAAAATCCAGAAATCAAATGCATTTCGACACTTACAATCCACAGGCCATCAGACTTGATGCCTCTCAAGCAGCTGGTGGAACTGTTGTAGAACTCCAGGATTTCTCTCTTCCACCACTCCACCGTGGAATTGCAGAAGTCTGGGAAAGCAACATGTGCTCTGTTGATCTGTAAAAATAGCAGGAAAACAAAACAGATACAGGATTGAAAGCATCCCACTGTTAAAATGTTGGAATTTGTTTAAAAATTTTAAAAACTGAAAAAAAAAATTACTTGCTCACTAACTTTTTTGGCTCTGCCAGGAAGGCTAGCCAGTTTTTGCACCTTATTTCTCCCACGAGATTTATCAACTAGTTTGCTGCTATTTTCCTTAATTAATGTGCTGCTCTGGCTATATTTGAGTCCATAACCAAACCATATCAACATTTACGTGTATTTGGATTTGCTCAGGCAGTGACTCATTGACTTGTACATTGGGCAGAAATGGCCGGACCTAACAGAACAAAGGACATTTTAAAATAATCAAACCACACTGAATATAAACTGGACGTCAGCAACAGACAGATGTAACTGTTCTTCCCTGATACCTACGTGAATGACAACACAAACTGAAGACAATTCAGTTTGTAGTATTTATTCAATGTGTCATTTACAGCCAGGCATGAATATACCATTAGCAGACTCTCCCCCTGTGGCTAGCACTGAAGTCTAGGCTGACATGTTGCTCACTTGAATACAGCATGCCTCTACTGTCATCAGCTTCTTAAGAACAGTACTTTGGAATACATAATGCCATAGGTATTGGGCCATTTTATGAAGACATCATCCTGCAAACCTCTTGAGAAGGCAGGAGAATTGGTTTCATTTCTGGAAATTGTTGGATTCTACAATTAAAAACACTTTTATGCTTATGCTCAAAAAACAAGTTTAGAAATGCTGTTGAATATATTCTGCATTCTGCAATGATATATTGAAATTTAAAAGCAGTATTCAAAACTGACCAGGATAATGATAAATCTCATTCCTTCTTCTTTTATTCTGTTAATCAGAGCTGGTAACCCAGCAAAGAATGTGCCAATGGTGAAGTACAGTTGCCTTTCCATATGGTCAATATATACATATTGGACATCTTGCAGTTTGCAAAACCCAATTAATGTAAAATGATTTTTTTTTCTTTTTTTGCCAAATATATATTTATTGAAAATCTTCCAAAATAAGTAAACTACTGAACTTTTGAACTGTAAAATTGGAAGCAGCTGTAACTTTAATCTAAAGCTATTAAATGAATATTACACAACCTATCAGCAAGTCCAATACAAAATAAACCTTTCACTACTGCATCTAGTCTGAGGGTAGAAATTAATACATGATAGAGAAAAATATCCTGGATCTGCACATATGTGTATGTACACAGAAACTCCACATATGTTACCATAGCTAGAAGGAAACACTGGAAACTGTTGTTCTGTATTGAAATAGTGATGTTAATTACATTTAACATTAAGAGTCACATTCAATTTACAGTATAATTTTGTTAGATCTATGTGCTATTCCAACTTTCCCAACAATCATAGAATCATAGAATCGTTAAGATTGGAAAGACCTCTGAGATCATCGAGCCCAACCTGTTAACCTAACTGCCAGGTCCACCTCTAAACCATGTCCCTAAGCACCACATCCACACATTTTTTTAATACTTCCAGGGACTGTGATTGCACCACTTCCCTGGGCAGTCTGTTCCAATGCCTAACCACTCTCTCTCTGAAGAAATTTTTCCTAATATCTAATCTTAATCTCCCCTGGCACAACTTGAGCCCATTTCCTCTCGTCCTATCGCTTGTTACTTGGGAGAAGAGACCGACCCCCACCTCGCTACAGCCTCTTTTCAGGTAGTTGTAGAGAGCGATTAGGTCTCCCCTCAGCCTCCTCTTCTCCAGACTAAACAACCCCAGCTCCCTCAGCCGCTCCTCATAAGACTTGTGCTCTAGACCCTTCACCAGCTTTGTTGCTCTTCTCTGGACATGCTCCAGCACCTCAATGTCCTTGTAGTGAGGGGCCCAAAACTGAACACAGGATTTAAGGTGCGGCCTCACCATTTGACTCCATTCATCACCACTCTCTGGGCTCGACCATCCAGCCAGTTTTTTACCCAGTGGAGAGTGCACTTACCCAAGCCATGAGCAGTCAGTTTCTCCAGGAGAATGCTGTGGGAGACAGTGTCAAAGGCCTTACTAAAGTCTGGGCAGACAACATTCACAGCCTTCCCCTCATCCACTAAGTGGGTTACCTTGTCATAGAAGGAGATCAGGTTGATCAAGCAGGATCTTCCCTTCATGAACCCGTGCTAGCTGGGCCTGATCCCCTGGTTGTCCCGCACGTGCTGCGTGATGGCACTCAAGATGATCTGTCCCATGACTGTCCCCAGCAACGAGGTCAGGCTGACAGGCCTGTAGTTTCCCAGATCCTCCTTCCAACCCTTCTTGTAGATGGGTGTCACATTAGCTAACTTCCAGTCAACTGGGACCTCCCCAGTTAACCAGGACTGCTGGTAAATGATGGAAAGTGGCTTGGCGAGCTCCTCTGCCAGCTCCCTCGGTATCCTCAGGTGGATCCCACCTGGCCCCATGGACTTGTGGGCATCCAGGTAGAGGAGCAGGTCGCTAACTGTTACCTCTTCGATCACTGGGGCTTCATTCTGCTTCCCATCTCCATCAACCAAGTCAGTCCTGTTCAGCCTGACCAGGCAGGAAGGAAAGCAAAGGTATTACTGCCTTTAAAACTTGCTGATGAGAAAGTGCTTCCGCAGGACAAAACTTTCCCTTCTTTTCAAACAGTAGCAGGTGTCTATATGATCAAGAGATGCTAGTGACTTTCTATTATCTTTCATTTACTCAAAAATATGTTGAAACCTGAACTGGAAATTACAGCTATAATTAACCACTACTATTTCATTGGACATTCCCTGAAATTGCAAACGTTGTGCTATTTTGTAGGAAATAACACAAGTATACACATAGAAATAAGATTTCTGGTTTACCTCTGTAAGTACTATTTTAATCCCAGCTCCCAGTAGTGGGAGTTTTCCTGACTGATGTCTAGCTTTCAGAATAATTAGCTGAGAAAAATAAAAAAAGGAGGAAAGTGGTGCTATTTTTAAGTCATTTGTTGTGTTCCAACATCTGACTCAAGGTCTGAGCTACACATATTGGTCTCACAGGTCACAAACAAAGAATAGATTTAGAGAAGACCATTGCCGTTGAGACACCGTCCAATTATAAGCCAGGATAAATACGATCAAAGTCAATAAGTGTGTCCAGTACTAGTGGACATCCACTGGACTTTAAAATCCTGACAAACACCTCTGCACTTTAGGCTCATTAGTCCAAAAGCTACATTTGCTTCTACTTACAATAGGAGGCTGATCCCTTGTGAACATTCCCCAAGTGTGCCAGCTCATGTTACATTGAAACACGGTGTGCTCAGTTTCTCCAAATCCATTATATACTGGGATGCTAAGTGGGTAGAAATCTGACTGAACATGTTGCTGAATGTGAAGGTGGGCAGCTGCAAATCCCACCTAAAACGGAAAGAGGAAAATAAAAACAGGAATATAGTGTCTTCAGTGCTGCGTTTAGCTATGTCCTGGTTTCAGCTAGGATAGAGTTAATTTTCTCCCTAGTAGCTGGCATAGTGCTGTGTTTTGGATTTAGGGTGAGAATAGTGTTGATAACGCACTGGTGTTTTAGTTGTTGCTAAGTAGTGCTTACACCAGTCAAGGACTTTTCAGCTTCCCGTGCTCTGCCCGGTGCACAAGAAGCTGGGAGGAGGCACAGCCAGGACAGCTGACCCAGGCTGGCCAAAGGGCTATTCCATACCGTATGGCGTCACACCCAGTATAGAAACTGGGGGGAGCTGGCTGGAGGACAGTGACCGCTGCTCAGGGACTGGCTTGGTGTTGGTCAGTGGGTTGTGAGTGGCTTCCGATTCTCTCCCCGTCCCACCGGCAGGGAGTGAGCGAGCAGCTGTGTGGTGCTTAGTTGCCAGTTGGATTAAACCACGACAGCTGGCAGACACTTTTTTTAGGCTACTCTTTTTCTCTTAAAATCACTCTTCAGTAAAGGTGGAATAAAACTGTTATGGTTATCGAGAAAACTTAAAGCACATGAAATGGGCATGTCTAAGAATTTGATACACAGTTTAGAGACACAAAGTCCTCTGTGTGTCTCAGAGAGATATATTATGCACAGGCATCATGCACAGCAAGTTGCATCATATTTTGGCAATTTACTGAGAAAATGTGTTTCAGGAGAGTATGATCATATTTTCCTCCCAGATTGATCCTTGGTGCCACATGGAATATAGTAAATAAGGTGCTTTATACACTTCACTGGACTTTTTGTGCAGATTACACTGAAACTGTATTCATAGGTCTCATTTGTTGTAAATCAGCATCTTTAACGTCAGAAACCAAACTGCAACCTGATGGTGCTCTGCCGAAGAATTCGTCATTCCAGGAGGCTGAATTGCAGTTTGAATAATTACTCTGGTTAGCAAAAAGGAACTCAGCTTGCAATTAAGTTTTGATCACTTTAAAAAATGACATAAGAATGCTTTTTTGAATAAAAAACATAGCACTTGCAACCTCTAATGTCATTGTTCTCCGTTTTCTAGCTCTGAATTAAGCTTAATCAAGGAAAAAAATGAAGCTCCTGTCAGACTTATTAGCTGTCATGTTACAAAAATCCATCTGCAAGTTAGTCGAGACACTAATTTATTCTACTTTTTTTTCCTAACCATTCCCCAAAACTGAACCAAATGATCAGTTCTTAATGATCAGTGCTGTGGTCACCTAAGGAAAATTTCAGGAAATATAGAAAATCTTTGTGCATCCCAGAGACTTGGGAACTACACAAGCAACAGCCTTTGGAGTTGTCTATGTTCCACACTTCAACATGTTGTAGAGGACTTCTAGCAAGTGTCAGAGTATGAAGTGACAGGTGAAAGACCTTAGATAATTATGAGAAAAAAATAGGTTATCGCTCAGGGCACCTTCTCCGCCCTCCCCCTGGTCAGTGCTCTCATGCAATGCAATGGTGAAGCCATCTCCGCTGGAGCAGCATCTGGCATTGGGCAGAGCCATTTCGTGGGAAGGATACAAAGTCTTGAGGTGCTTAAAAAGTAGTACACAAAACAATGGTTTGGCTTGAAAAGAGCTAACAAAACCAAGTGAAATAAAGTAAAATTATTATGGCTTACATGACTCTTCCTGTGCTTTTGTGCCGAGCCTGTACATGAAATGTTTTTTTCTGAGCTGTTACTTCACAGAGTCTTTCCTTGTCCATGCTCAATGGGGAGCTCAGGAGATTTAGTGGTACCAGAACCTCGTATCATGCATTTTGATAGTCATAAATCTATGAAGTAAAACCCAATTAATTTCAATGAATAAGTTGTTTGAAATCTTACCTATAGTGATAGAAATCTGAATTAGTTAAAATGAATACAGAAAATTGTTGAAAACACTTGCTGAGATGAGTATTTTCTTTCAAGATGTATTCTTTAACCAGTTCTTTCACAATCTTTGGTTTGGGAAAAAAGAAACTTAAGGAGTTATTTTGGATCAGGAATGACTTGTCTAAGCATTTTTATATATGAATTTAAAGTGTGTACCTATATTTAAAATATAGGTGTATATATATATATATATAAAAGTATGGTAAATACCTTTCTGATTAATCTTTTAGCCAACTTTAAGAGATTCATTTAAAGTTTTCTGTATTCTGAGAGCTGACAGAAGTTAGTTTTTGATGCTTGACCATTTTAAGGCAACAGACTTATTTCAGTATTATTAAACAAACAGTAATAAATTATAGTCTAAACAATAATGTATTAAAAATTTTAGAAGTAGAATGATTAATGCAAAAATTAACTGTACAGTCATGATAACACTTATAGATAAATTTACCTGTATACTAATAAAATATCTTTAGTTCCAGAGTTTCTGGTTGACATTACATACATACATTGACATTACACCTTTGATTCATATATTTTCGTTGTAAAACTGAGTACAGAATTACAGGACAAAAAAAGATGTGAGCTAAGAACAATAACAACTACTCAGTTAGAAGGAGAAACATATTTATGCAAGGGTGCTGCTGTCTGTGTAATATAAAATTGACAATAAAAAGCACTTATAATTTCCATAAATAAGACTATTTTTAACAATGGAACGTTACATACTCATAGAAATTCTGGAATGACATTACCTTAAACTGCAGCATGTGGTTGAGATGATATTTCACGTCCAAGTGTAGTGTACTAATTGGTGTAGTGAAATTCTCATTAGCTGTGGTCTTGGCACTGTTTAAGGTGAGGCTGGCTGCCAAACCTGAGGAGGTACATTCTACTTTGTCTACAGAGTAAGCATTGTCGGAGCTGTATTAGCAGGGTGGAATATCTGAGTTTGATGTTACCTGCTGCAAATAGAAATAAGTTACAGGTTAGTGAGCTACACCGGCCTGCTGTATTTTTTGTTAGTTATTAGCATGGAATCTGAAACCCCCATGTTTAGCTGATAGCTGTCAAATGTAGAATTTTGGGAAAAACTTAATGCAACTAGTGAACAATAAAGAAGTAATACAGAACCCATTGATCTCTACACTAAATCAGATATAATAAAAAAATCCAGTGAAGGCTGTACAAACAGTTCAGTCAGGAAACCGAATCCTCACACCATGAAGGTGAATTTAATTTCCCTGTATCTGTGATCTTCAGCTCAATCCCACAACATGGCTTAGCCTTGGCCTGTTGAAATTCCTAAAGCTTCCTCCCTTTTAATCCCGTTGCTCTCTGGTCTCTGGCTCACACAAGGGGATGTGCACAGAAGTCATTCGATATTCAGGCAACATCAGATGAGACCTTTGGGTTGGCTTTATTCACGAGAATTATCCTTAAATTATCCACTGAGAATTACATCCTATTTATCTAAGATCTCCTGACAGCAAGATCAAAATTACTTTCAGTTTCCTGTTACAGTTGAACATAAACACTCAAGCTAGGTATTCTGAGGTTAGACGAGCTGATGTAGGTTAATGCATTAGCCTTCCACCTCTGGATACTTACCATCAATCCTGCCTAGCTGTTCAACTGAAACTATGCCGGCTCCGCACGTCTTAATTGCTAATGAATATTTATTCATCTGTCGCCACCCAATTCAAAGCACCTTTCAACTTGACCAAGAGTTCAAAACACACCTGGTCCAAAGCAGAGGACCAGAGTTCGATTTCACATGAAAAGCCGTTTCCAAATGTCCAAAATTACAAAAAAAAAATTCCTAATAGGGCAACAAAATCAGGACAGTTCAGACACTTCGGCTGTTGCTGGTTCAAGAGCAGCTAACAGAGAATTTTGGCCTTCATGCCTAGGTGTGCACTCCAGACAATAAAAAGGTGAGACAAAGGGGATAAGCCTTGCAGGCCACGGTGCCAGTGAAGCAGAAGGCAGCAGCGGAAGATGCTGATCTCCAGTCTGTTCTATTTTTTCATAACTCTAATATTATTTCTTTCCATCTTTCAAAAAATACCATGTTTTTCCTGAACTTCTGATATACTTTGGAGGAGCTTACACGGTTGCCAGGTACCTTAGTTTTAGTGAGGTAAATAAAATCCGCTAGTACAGGCCAGCTGATGTCTGTGCCCCCATTTTATTGAAATCTGACAAACCTGCCAGACTACTTTTTCCACTGTAACAACTATAAAGAGAAAGCTATGATTCTGGAAACCTTTCTGTCTCATTAGTTTAGAGAAATCATTTTTACTTACTTCGTAGACATAGCCAAGTTGTTCATATTTTTCTTGTGTTGGATTGTGACTGGGATAACAATTAAACCTTTTGTCCTGGTTTCAGCTGGGATAGAGTTAATTTTCTTCCTAGTACCTGGTACAGTGCTGTGTTTTGGATTTAGGATGAGAATAATGTTGATAACAC